ACCAAATAGGAAGCAATAATGTGTCTGCATTTATGCCTGTCTGTTATCAAAATATCTTATAAACAACTGAATAGATTTTAATGAAACTTGCTGAAAGGAATCAATAGATGCACCTCTACAACTGATAAACTTTTGGAGCCAACCCAGATCAAGATGTCTATCACAGCCAACTGACCCTAAAAAACACATATATGGCTCAAACTCAGTCAATTTTACAAATATTAAAGCTATAATTTGTTGGAGCTGTAGATTACACTGATCCTTAGCCCATGTTCTGAGCATTTGCAGATAATGTAAGATCTGTGAAAAAATATTTGTTACATTATTTTGGAGTCAACTATGTTTATCTGTTAGCAAAATATCACATAAACCACTGGACACTTTTTACTGAAACGTTCCGAAAATAATTATCAGATGTTTTTTTTTAAACATTAACTTTTGGAGTCAACCCGATTCAGTATGACCACCACAGCCAACTGATCTTAGTAAACATAAAAATGATTACAATTCAGTTTGTTTTACAAATGTTTTGCTAAAATTTGGTGTGGTTGTAGCTGTGGGTCATTAACAACTGGTACTCACTTGGCTAGATTTTTGTTTAAAACTTCAGTATGAACTAAAGTTGGAGTCAACCCTGTTGGCCAGTTAGCAAAATAGCTCATGAGCTACCRGTTAGATTTTGATAAAACACTTAAAAAAATATTCATTGGATGAAGKTCTACAACTTGTTAACTTTTGGAATCAGGTCTGCCACAACTAATCTACATTTGGCAACAAAAAAGGCCTACAACTCAATGAATTTTACAAATAATGAGCTAAAATCTGACGTGGCGGTAGCTGAGAGTCCAAAATTGTTCAAACTAAACAAATAAGATGATTTTAGTTTAAAACTCATGAAAGATGGTAAATGACACGAACTCTTTCAAGAAATGCTAGGCCTATCTTATTTTTTTATTTTTTTTTCTCCTTTTTTCTCTCCGGTTCTGTTTGACTTTGCCTCACTTTGCCCGTCTTCTTCCATCTCCTCCATTGCTGCACCAATGTCTCTCTTTTTCTTCTAAATTTATCTCTCCCCGCCCCTGCTCTCCRATCCCCCTCTCACCCCTCATCCCCATCATGCCTAAGCGTGGACATCACTTCTTGCATCTCTCCCATAACTCCCCGTGGCCTGACTCAGAAAAGGCTCTAATAGTGCAACCCCRACACACCCCCACCCCCTTCGCCCGTGAAGCTCCACGGAGCCATAAAGCAGCCCTGAGGTCTAGTTGGCAGCCAGATGGTTGCAGCCGAGCTTTCATTCTGCTAATGGGTAGGGGGGGCCCGAGCAGTTAATGAAAATCAGACCCCTGAAATGAAATGACCAATGTCCCAAGGTAATGAGGCCCATGCATCGGCGGCTAGGTTTTACAAGCATTAAGGTAATCTTAGATGGCAGGATTATGTAAGAAAACATCTGATGATGACTGTTCATTAGATTGCTGATTGTTCTACTGCATGTCCGGCTAACAAACACACTCCCCTGGACTCGGGGGCACCGTCTGCGATATTTAGATTGACTGGCTCTGCTAATAAGTGCTCCACCCATGCAAGGCTGCATGCCAAATGCCATCAATGAGTGTCTGCCCACGAAGCATTGCAACCTACAAATTACAGCCCCTGTCACAGTCGCAGACGGCAACAATATCACAGTAACATTACGCACAAAAGCAAGCAGGGCTAATCATTGTGCATTACATTCACAGATCAGAACTGTGACCCCGCTCCCCCCTTTTACAGCCAACAATCACAATTAGAGTTCAATCTGTTCAGAGCTCGCCATTATTTACTGCAATTTCTCTTGCATTAGCCAGCGCGGTCAGCTGCAGGGAGAGAAAGGGGTTTAGCTCGAAACTGAGCAAAAATATCAGACTTTG